GGTGGGGTGTCACCTGACGCTGCCACCACTCTGGATTTAGGATCCCTTAAGAAGGCCCAGAGCACGCTCCCAAGTCCTTCAGACCTCCCTTTTGGCCGAATCATAGGCGCGAGGACCAGGCAGAGTGAACAATAAGGAAAGGGTTATTTTATAGGAGGTCAGACAAACAAGGTGCAGGAATAATAACAGTAAGTAGGTGAAAAGAAAAGAAATCAAATGCCCTAACGCGTCTAAATATACGGTCCCTAGCTCACTCTCTCCAGTGGCCTTAGACTACTCACCCTTCCCTCAAACAATATAACAAAGATTATATATCTGATACGCCCTTTCTCCAGTGAAAACAGATGGGGAGAAACAAGAGAATCACATCCATTTTTGTATTTGAGATACGAATTGGTTCTGAGAAAGAAACTCTAAAATTGGAAACCACTTGCCATTAAATTGGGAGTGCCTGGGATTTCGTAGAGCGTTATTTAACTTATCCGTGACATACTCCATTAGATAATGATCCCAGCAGGGCTCTTCTGATGTTCTTCTGGTTCCTTTCCTTTAGGTGTGGAATGCGATTGAAAGCTTCCTAGTTTTAGAAGCCTTCGGACATAGACCGATTGCCTCTGGCATTCGAGCACCAGGTCATACCGGAGTGTGAACTCTTCAGGAAGCTCTCATTGGCACACTGCAAGGAAAGGGAGCACATGAACACATGTCATGTCCACTATTGGAGGACACACGGTTGATTTCCTCTCTGAATGCAGAAACTGGAAGGGCTAGATTTCCTTTTTAATAAAGTCTTAATTGCTGCTTGTCCTTAGTGTCAAGGCAAACTCAAGGCTGGTAGAATACCAGGAGGCCGGTTGCCCAGACGCCAAAAAGAATTATGTGCTGTTTCCTTGGAGTTGGAAATACCTTTCATATCTGCTGAAAGGCGGGTCTTGCTTTTTCTGGCGCTGGTGCCGAGGAATCAAAACACTCCTCCAGCCTTGTGTAGTGTGATAATGGGACCTTAATTCTCCCTTTCGTTTAGGTGACCGTGGAAGAACTTTTTGCTTTTCCAGCAGGCCCCACTATAGACACGGGGCTTAGTAACCTTCAGCGAAGATGCTGAGCATGTGGGAAGGCTTTGTCAGGGACTGCCACCTCTTCCTTTGGGTTTCCATTTGGTGGCTTGGGATGTGCAGAGGGGTGTGTGGGGTCCTCTCTTATTAAGGAGACGGTTTTACCTTGAAAACACTCCCTGTAGTACCTAAACTTGGTAGATTTCTGCTGCCACCAGGAATTAAAAATTCCAACTCTCTCACTTTTGGTAGAATGACCCAGGGTCTGGGCACTTCAGAGGACTATGTGGCCCTGAGGAAGGACTATTCTTATTTCTGGGATAAGTTTAAACAAAAAAAAAAAGATTTATTTAATAAAGAACAAAATGGGTTTCTGGTTATTTTGAACTGTTGCTGATGAAAGGAACTTGTAAATATAACTGGCAAGGCTTGGTGTTACAAACAGTCTCTCAAACTCTCAATTCTCCACTCTGACAGGCGTAGACACTCAGTCTAATCTCTCTCATATATATATATAGCCACACAGGCTGGACTCTTTGTCCTATTCACACAGAACAGACTCAAAACTCATATCCACACAGACTAAACTGTTTGTCTTATTCACACAGAATAGACTCAAAAACTATGCTTTCTCTTCAAACTTTACGCACAGAATCACTCTCACAGACACCCCTCCTCCCACACTCTGTCATCAGCCAATCGCATCACACTTGTCTCCCTCTATCACTCTCCTTAGAGTACTGCAATCAAACTAAACATTTAAAGATACACACACCCCAAAACATGAAATCATTACAGGGGGTGTTGGATCAAAGTGCTCAGCTGTGTTGTTCTGAACGAATAGAAGTCCAGTGCCACCTTTAAGACCAACAAAGTTTTATTCAAAGGTGTGAGCTTTCAGACAGTGAAATGGAATTACCGATCGTACTTGTATATATACAGGTGGCTTGTTAAATCAGCATGCAAAATAATGCAGAGTTTTTTTAACAGATAAAAAGAATGACAAGTTTGGTTTCAGGTTATCATTTGTTTGGGTTCAACTGGGGGGGGGAACGACACAACATAGGTAATATGTCACAACTGGAGATTGATGTACCCTAAATTGTGAGGATTCAGTCATTAGATCCCATCCATCTCCTTTCTAGCATGGAGGCAAACTTTACAGCATCATGGCTGTGTAGAGTATTTTTCTCATCCCCATAGAATCATAGAGTTGCAAGAAATTCTCAAATACCTCCCCCTCCACACCTGCAGTGACCGCTGTTCCACACCCAGAAAATGACAAAAAAACCTCCAGGATCCCCAGGCAAACTGGCCTGGAGAAAAATTGCTTCCTGACCCCAAAGTGGCAATCAGCATTTCCGTGGGCATGTAAGAAAGGGCCACACGAACTAAGCCCTGATGCAACGCTTCCTGCCCTCCCTCTCATGATCTGCCCAAGTTCACACAATCAGCATGACTGTCAAATGACCACCTAGCCTCTGTTTACGAGCCTCCAAAGGAGGAGAGCCCACCACCTCCCGAGGAAGCCTGTTCCCCCGAGTGAACTCTAACTGTCTGGAAGTTCTTCCTAACGTTTAGCCGAAAAATCATCTTGTTCTCATGCATTCTACGAAATCCGCCCAGTTCCAAATCTATAAGTGTTCTGGAAGTGCTCCTAAGACTTGTTTTCGTCTGTGGCTTTTAACTGCTGGAATTATGCGGGGGCGTAATTTCTTGTGTCTCTGCTTTTTTACCGTGCGCTTAATTGGTTATAATTTGTCTGTTGTCTAAAGGGCCCGTGTGTGAGAGAGACTTCTATGTATGCAAGGGTTATTACCGGGTGGTAATTTGGGCTGCTTGTCAGCTCAGAGGGCCGTGCACGGGCTACGACGAAGAACTTAATAAGGCTCTTGTAATTAAGCGACTGATTAAGCCGCGCTCCTTCTGTACTTATGAAGGGTCGTAACTATTTAGAGCAGGTACCATTTCTGTTTATAGAATCCTTTTAAGGGAGTTGCATCCGATGATCCACGGAAGGTTGTTTACCACAATAATATGTATGTAGGGCTTCGTCTGCATTATTTTGTTCTCATCCTTACAGGCTGCCTTAAACTAGGTCAGAGCGACTGGGTGGAGGTTGGGGCCTTAGGCCAACCAGTGAATCACGGCAGAGAGGAAGTTCGAACCGGCAGTTTCCCTGCTCCCTAGACAGTCCGCTGCCAGCACGCCAGCAGCCATTGCGTCAGTGTTTGCTTTGACTTGCATTATTTTGTTCTCATCCTTACAGGCTGTCTTAAACTAGGTCAGAGCGACTGGGTGGCCTTAGGCCAACCAGTGAATCACGGCAGAGAGGAAGTTCGAACAGGCCGTTTCCCCGCTCCCTAGACAGTCCGCTGCCAGTGCGCCAGCAGCCATTGTGTCAGCGTTTACTTTGACTTCATTTATACCCTTCTTTTTCTCCCCAGTCGGAGACCCAAAGCAGCTCTCATGGTTCTCCTCTCCTCCATTTTATCCTCACAACAGCCTTGTGAGGTAGGTTAGGCCGAGAGTGTGTGACCAGTCCCAGGTCACTGAGCAAGATTCCATGACAAGGTGGCCCCGACCTGGATAGCCCAGGAAAACCCGATCTTGTCAGATCTCGGAAGCTAAGCAAGGTCATCTCCAG